AGGCATAAAAAGTCAAAAAACATCATACTATAATAAGGCATAAAAATCGAAAAAAATGACATAGTATAATAAGGCATGAAAAGGTCATAGTATAGTAAGGCATAAAAAGTCATAAAAACAACATTGTATATTAAGGCATGAAAATGACATAGTATAGTAAGGCATAAAAACGTCATAGTATAGTAAGGCATAAAAATTCATAAAAACAACATAGTAAAGTAAGGCAGAAAAACGACATAGTATAGTAAGGCATGAAAACTTCATAGTATAGTGAGGCATAAAAAGTCAAAAAACATCATAGTATAATAAGGCATGAAAAGGTCATAGTATAGTAAGGCATAAAAAGTCATAAAAATGTCATAGTATAATAAGGCATAAAAAGTCATAAAAACATCATAGTATAGTAAGGCATAAAAACGACATAGTATAGTAAGGCATGAAAACGTCATAGTATAATAAGGCTTAAAAAGTCATAAAAACAACATAGTATAGTAAGGCATAAAAAGTAATGAAAACGTCATAGTATAGTAAGGCATTAACAGTCATAAAGATGACATACTACAGTAAGGCATAAAAACGTCATAATATATTAAGGCATAAAAAGTCATAAAAATGACATAGTATAATAAGGCATGAAAACGTCATAGTATAGTAAGACAGAAAAAGTTGTAAAAACATCATAGTATAGTAATGCATAAAAAGTCATAAAAACTACAAAGTATAGTAAGGTTTGAAAAGTCATTAAGCGACATAGTATACTTAGGCATAAAAATCATAAAAACATCATAGTATAGCAAGGCATAAAAAGTTGCAAAAACGTCATAGTATAGTAAGGCATGAAAAGTCATTAAGATGACATAGTATATTAAGGTATAAAAACTCATAAAAACATCATAGCATATAAAGGCATAAAAAGTCATAAAGACGACACAATATAGTAAGGCATAAAAACCTCACAGAACAGTATGGCATAAAAACTCAAAAACTTCATAGTATAGTAAGGCATAAAAAGTCATAAAAAACAACATAGTACATTAAGGCATGAAAACGTCATAGTATAGTAAGGCATGAAAAGTCATTAAAACGACAAAGTATAGTAAGACATAAAAACGTCATAGTATTGTAAGGCATGAAAACGTCATAATATAGTAAGGCATAAGAAGTCCTAAAAACATCATAGTATAGTAAGGGATAAAGGGTCATGAAAAGGTCATAGTATAGCAAGGCATAAAAAGTCATAAAAACGTCATAGTATATAAAGGCATAAAATGTCATAAAAACGACATAGTATAGTAAGGTATAAAAATGTCATAGTATAGTAAAACATTAGAAGTCATCAAAAAGTCATAGTATAGTAAGGCATAAAAATTCATAAAGACGACACAGTATAGTATGGCATAAAAATTCATAAAAACGTCATAGTATATAAAGGCATAAAAAGTCATAAAAACAATATAGTACAGTAAGGCATGAATAGTCATTAAAACGACATAGTACAGTAAGGCATAAAAAGTCATAATGATAGTACATTAATGCATTAAATCTAATAAAAACAACATAGTCTAGCAAGGTTCAGCACGGTGATGAAGTTGTTAGCTCCCTGTGCCTGTGTGTGTTATATCCGGCTACTCCGTCTTGCTTCAGAAGTCCAAAAAAATGCACATTAGGTTAATTGGCAAGTCTAAAGTGTCCATAGGTGTGAAAGTGTACGTGATGGGTTGTTTCTCAAATTCCATTTCAAATAAGCTTTATTGTCATGACAGATCAGAAACCTATATTGCCAAAGAAAACAATTAAAAAAATATAAACATTGGCAGATGATTGATTAATGATAATACAATAATATGCAAATATCAACAATAATATAAAATACAATATAATAAAATACATTTTTTACAGATGCAATTACACAGAAACATGTATTACAGAGCTTGTTTCTCTCAGACTATGACAAGATTTAACATATTTTGCAGCTATTACTGCACATTTTCTCCCCACATAGGAAGACATATAAAGACACATAAAGATCGGGGAGGTGGATAAACTCAGGATACAGGTGACTTATTTTTTCAAAGAATATTTCTCTCTGTTTTTCTCTGTATGTCAGCCCTGTGATAGGCTGCCGACCTGCCCAGGGTGTACCCCACCCTCGCCCAATGTCAGGTGGGATTGGTTCCAGCCTATACCGCTTATCCTCATAGGGTCACGGGGGGCTGGAGCCACTGTCAGTGTTGCCTCTGTTAATTACAGGTATTAGCCTGGATTAGCGCTTCCATCTGTCAGGACATCAGGGTCATCAAATCCACATACCTCAGGTGTCAGCTGTCACCACTAAAAGTTTGTTATCAGTTAAAAAGAGCATAGGAAGGAAAGTAGGTTCTGCATAGATCAATACTGAATATCTTTGCCAATAGGTGATCTGGCAGCATCATCCCCTTATTTAAGGCTGAAGAACTACTATATAATAATACTATATTTATACTAATAGTATATTTATACTATAATATAATAAAAACAACATGCTAAATTATCATGGAAGAAAATAATGTGATTATTTATCAGAAGATATTATTATGTTATCAGATAGTTAATTACATTAACATAGCCTAATGTATTACATTTGTACTGACAAGAGGGATATTCAAATCTGACACATTTATTACGTAATTGGCAAATACACACTTTTATACATCTGTCTTTGTAAATTTAAGACACCTGCAGACATAGTGCATTCCCAAGTCCCTTAGCCTAATTTTAACCCAAACCCTACCCCTAACCCCGAACCGTAAAAGCCAGTATTAACCCTAAAGCAGTCAGTTGAAGGTGTGCCATAAAGTGAGGACTGGCCAAAATGCATCCACTTTTCAAAAATGTCCTCACTCCCAAGACCTCAAACTCAAACTGGTCCTCACAAAGACAACCATACAAGTAAACACCCACGTGCACAGACATGCACGTACACACACACACGCACACACACACACACACACACTTTCAAACAATAAATGGGCAAATAATCTCACTGACCTGTACCAGGAGGGCATCTGAAAACATCTGAGGCCTCAACGATTGACCATACCTGCAGTAAGTTAATCAACTAGAACTTGTGTTACAGCTGAACAATGGAGAATAGAAAATACAAAAATAAAAACATCAGGCAGGGCTAAGAGCTCAACGAATGATATAACACTACCTGAAAGAGATATTTCTGAACTTATGAAAAGAGGTGACATTATGTGCAAGTAAATATGTATTTGTATCAAGTTTATTACAGAAAAATGTCAAATAAGGAAGGAAATAAGGAAATAAAATTTTTAAGAGCCAACTCAGGCCAGAGCGAACCAAGGATACCATCTTCAGTCAAACCTTTGATTTGGGCCAGACCTCTTGAATTGAACTATTACCATGTCTGTTTTCTTTTTGTGCACAAGTGCCTGTGTCATTGTGGCAGAGAGCTGTGGGTTCAGTCCACTTGTCAGCCATCTTAAGAGAGGAGCTGAGTAGCAAAAACCATTTCATAATTAAGCTGTGAAACTGCCTGCGCCTGGAGTCTTGGTTTCAGATGGTTGTGAAATGCCATCTGCAAATGTGTCTGTTTTGTTTCCTTCTAAGGGAATTTTTTTTTCCAGGTCTACTGTGAGTCAGACAGAAAATGTGTTTGATTATATTCAGCTGTTCAACAGTGGCACATAGTGGTTTAAATGTCTAACCGTGACGTTCCAAAGCTTTCAACAAAGGTCACGTGTTGTGTTTTACATTGTGAAGTAAACCTTTTAACCTCACTATCTCATGAGACATTTCTGTGGATCTCTCTTCTAATTTCCTCTTCAGTTGTCTCTGGTGTTAAGATGTGCCTTGATTGATTGTGTCAATTACAGGGAAGCTTATTTCAAAGGGACAGGAGGGGCTAAGCTGCTATTGCTCCCAAGTAGCAGTCAATAGATGTGATAGATTACTCGAAGCCCCTTTTAGTCCAACTGCAATTTGTGTAGCCTTATAACAGTGAAGACCATAAATGACTGTAGCTGCAGCTATTACAGAAATCTCTAAATCCACCTTAATATGGTTGCAAGGCCAACAAAAAGCCTTAACACAAACTTAAGACAATGCAGAAGTGACTTTATAATGATCTTTTTTTTTTTTTTCAAACAGCCTCACACAAACATTTCATTATAGACGAACAAACCTTGTGTTATCAAGCTTATGCGAAAACAAGGGGGTTCAAGGAGAGACAGAGACCAGCTTAGAGAAAGAAGTTCGCAGACATAGTTTACGGCTGAGCAGGCTCACTAATCTAGATAAATGGAGCTTTCATTAAACTGAATTTTAAGGTTGAATAGTACATTAGTGTTGTGTCTAATGTATACAGATTTCAGACTACTCACTGAGGACTTAATTAGGAACATACCAATCCTGGGTAGAGCCTCTCATTGCTCAAAACATCTTCAAATCTTTGTGGTATGGATTCGAACAAGAAAGGTGGAAACGTTCCTTGGAGATTCTGCTCCATGTTGACATGATTGCATCACACCATTTCTAAAGATTTGTCAGCTTCACATTTATGCTGCCAATCTCCTGTTCTACCATATCCCACGGGTGTTCATGGTGCACTATCCTGTTGGAAGTAGCCATTACAAGATGGTAAATTGTGGCCACAAAGGGACGCACATGGACACAGTAACAATAGTCAGATAGGCTGTGGCATGCAAACCATGACTGATCTGTAAAGTCACTTACATCACATTTCTTCCCATTCTGATGTTTGATGGGAACATTAACTGAAGTTCCTGATTGTATGCATTGTACTGCTGCCACATGATCGGCTGACTGGATAATTGCATGTATAAGCAGGTGTACAGGTGTTCCTAAAAAATTGCTCAGTGTGGGTGTTTTCTGCTTAGAGTGAATGCCATTCACTCCTCAGCCTCTTTTCAGTGTTCTGTTCTAACAATTAAGATAAGTCCTTAATGAATGAAAACGGCCTGTTTTCAAACAACACATTCCACTGTACATGTTTATTTACATCACATCCTTTGTACATTTACTGCTCAGAAATACGCAGCACGGTGTTACATTCAAGGCACAGTTCAATCCCTCCAAAAAGTACTTTTTGCTTGTCACATACAAAAATCTGGAATGGAAATAATTATACTTTGTAAACTTTAGCAGTAGAGTATCAAAACTCATACCAAACAAAAAAGTAAACTTTCAAACTCAAGAAAACACTTTACACTGTAATATGGCTTGTCTGCTTACAAAACAAAAATCCTAAGTACCTAACAATATGTATATTTGGAAAATATCATTACAGACATACAGTGGTACAAAATGCTGTTGTCATGACATCTTTCTGTGAAGCTTTAATTTCTGAAGCTGCTAATTCTAGATATTTATCTGAGTAGTATAAAGTATGCTGACAGCTCAGGTATGAACACAGGATTACCTGGGCTTCTGGTCCATTTAGCGAAATCTGTAATTCACTTGAGTGGAAAGGAAGTCAATTTCAAATTCTTTAGACACTCAGTACGAAGCACCATATGTATGTAAATACATTTTCCACTCTTCAAAATGCAGAACATCTTAATTTCAAGAATCACAGAAACTAAAGAGTTCAAACTCAGATGTCCTATTTGCAACATTGGCAATAAAGTGACTTCTAAATATGTCAAACTGATAAATACACAAAAGACCTCAAAACATTCTGACTTTTCTTACATTTCTATGAGAACAGGAGGAAAAAACGTTACTATCAATTTGGCACTCAAGTTCTGTTCACTCTCAGAGGGTGTGGGTTACAACCCAATGTGTAGTTAAAAATATGATCGCGCTACAAAATGTACAATAAATCCATACATTTATACTGTAAATTAAGTGGCATGTACAGTTCTAACCAAAAGCTACAGTTTATACCAAAGTAGAGTTTTTTTACTTTAAGTAAGTAGTAAATAACTGATACCCACTAAGGGCTGGCTAAAATCAAAAATTCACCAAAAATATGCAGTTGCATTTGAAAATGAAAACTGGCCATCAAAACATATTTTACTCATCTTCAGTCCACCACCACAAAATAATTATGTTCTAAAACAACAGTGCTACATTTTAACTGCACATATATAAACAAAAACTTTGGTAAAGTGGCAACAAATGGGCAAACAAAAAGGAAGCAATTTTATCTCCACTTCAAATCTTTGTTGGTGGATAAACATGTCACTTACATTCATGGAAAAATTACAGAAATTCTATGTTGGCAATTGAAAAAAAAAAAAATGCACGGTTGATTATTCCGGGTAAAGGTCCTCAGGCAACAAACTTGTTCTTGGTTGTGGAGCCACTCTTTGTGGCTGTGTCAGCATGTGACTGGTATCCAATGATCACTTTTGGGGGAACGCCTAATCTCTCTTTATAAACACGCCTAAAAAGGAAAACAGAAGATAAACATGCACTACATATTAGGAAAAGGCACATTTAAAAAAAAAAAAAAAAAAAAAACTTTATAGGAACACATTACACATTTAAGTTATACACTAATCTGTGACAAACATAATCCTTACTAATGTTATCTCTCTACTACAGCATCGAGCTGTAGTAAACTAGATTATAGAGTTTATCCTCTGATAAGGCATTTTCAATGTATTTTACCACAGAGGGATTTTCCACAGGTTGGATGTCCAGCTGTTGTAGGTATCTTACCATTGTGCTAATGAACAAAATTAGAGCTACTTATTTTAACCATTAGGATTAAATATCTTTACTTCTGTTGAAAAAAATAAAAATAAAGCAATGCAGCTGGGCAAAACCTAGAATCACCGGATCAATAAACAACAGAAAAATGTCTGCAAGTATAAAACAAGACTGAATATTATAAATAGATGATTTATAAGATGATTCTGAATCTTTTCAGGACAGAGACATTTAGCATAAGAGCCAATATAATAAATCCTTCTTATTGTTTTGATGTCACTTCTAGTTGCATGACTGTGTACAATTTATTGTTCAGGAGACTATTTTATGAAAAAGGTGTATGTGGAGTTCGTATGTGGAGAGAAGACATTTGACAAATTGGCTCTGTACAGTTCCAGTAAAACCAGATTTTTTTTGTTAATTTTATATTTGGCACCTGTCAATTTTCCATCAATAACTGTGGTATCCTCAGCTCACCCTATGTGTGTGATGGCCTCTTTGTTTTCATAGTCTGTGGTCCATATTGCTATTTTATCTCCTTTGGCTCGGATGTTAATGACAGCTCCACACACGTCGTCAGTGTAGTCATCAAAAGCTTCACCCACCAGACACAAGAGCTGTAGAAAAAAAAAACAGACGTAATTTCAAAATGTCTTGTTGCCGGGGAGCAGTTGTTCACTTTTTAGTGGCAGTTAGTAGCTGATAACTGCTGATCTTTTTCACAGCACACATTTTGACTTGTCACAGTAGAAAAAGCACCAGTGTTACAAAGAACATTTAAGAATGACTCCACTCTATTTAATGATCCCAGTAAGCCATTATTGTGACAGTGAGCCAACATGCACAATACCAGGACCCTGAAACCAAAGCAGCTACATGGAATTCAGCCTTCATTATTTCTATTATTTACACCTGTGTTTTTCCCACTGTGATGTGTCAAATGTCTTTGGTGAAAAATGCCTTAGATAAGACTAATAATGGTATGGTTAATGTAAACAATGCTCAACAGGACTGAAAATACCGTCTCCAACCAGAACCGGTCCAGGTCTGATTTGCGCTGCTGTTTGGACAAAGTTATCAGCCAACGGCCACCTCGTCGGTTCCTTTCATCTTCCCACATGGGCTCAATTCCATCCTGTTTCCAAATGCAAATTAAAGCACACAACACTGTAAATATATCAACATATCTGTAATGAACAAATCTTTTAATTTAGACCAGGATAGGAGCAAGCAGTACATGTAGCTTGTTTTTTTCTTAAATAGTTACAGTATTACAAAATCAAAAAGGGATACTCCACTCAAAAGTAGTAGTAACAGCCATGCTGTTGTGCTGAGCTGTGAGTGAACTATACTGCTGAGAAAACTGCATCTGAGCAATGAAGAATATTTTAGGGGGAAAAAATGCTGTGTTTCACATTTACCGTTTTATCATTTGTTTTCAAGTATGTGCTAAAATCACAAGCAGCACCAGATAAAGTTATTTTTGGTGTGGTGAATTAAGGTGTGTGCACACCTAACTTGTTTTGTCAAAACAACCACAGTGATAGCACCTGATAAGTTGGATTCGCTTTGCCTCCAGGATGACTTTGGACAGTTTGATGAGAACTTTGTGATGAGATTGTAACACGGACCACAAAGGCAAAATGTACAAAATGCTGATTTTTAGAATTAGTGTGTGTGTGTGTGTGTGTGTGTGTGTGTGTGTGTGTGTACAGCTCTCTCCTTTGATGTGTACATTCAAACCAGCACTTTACTAGAATAGGTGTGCGTTTTCCTTCAGTTCTTCAAGAATGTGACACAACAGGCTAGATGTGTGACACTGGCTAAACCAAACAAGAGATGACACAATTAATGTACTGGTCATGGAAACTGTCTAGAAGAATGTGTTGTCTTGTTGATATGCACATGTAACCATGCCAGCGCATTTTTTAACAGTCCAGTTTCAGTCCATCTTGACTGATGCTCATAACTGACTCTTTCTCCATAAGTTGTTTGTGGCCACCAGAGAAGACAAAGTCAAGTCCAGTGAAGTGCAGCCTAACTCACCGCTAGTAAATGGAATAAACTGATAATGCTGGATTACAAGCCAATAAATCTCAAATGACTGAATTACCCATCAGGCCCTGTGAGTTCTATTTTAAAATGATTGGTTCCTTTGTAAGAATATAGTGTGCTTTAAATGGACCAGAATAGCAATACAATACAATACAATACAATACAATACAATACAATACAATAAACACCATTGTTTTTCTTTTTGGCTCTGAACAAGTGGACTTGAACTACAGCCTTTGACACAAAATGACACAATAACCCTGTCCATTCTGCCTTGATTAATGTTATTATCTCTTTTAAAAGTGGAAGCTAAGACAATTTATAGTTTTAAGTGGCTCTATTGTACAATGTTGAAAGGCAGTGATAAAAGCACTTTTACCTTGAACAGCGAATAGTCACAGCCAGACATCAGGTTACTTGAGAGCTGAATGTGGTTGTATAATCTGAGAAAGGAAGAAGGATATTTGATGTGCAAAAACACACGCTGTTAGCAGCCTGGCTAAAAACATGGTGCAACATGAATTTTAACCTCACATACCACCAACAACTGACAGATAACAGTGTTGTCTTGGTGATAAATTGATCCACCATCAAATGTATTCTGTTTCACAGTGTATAAACTGGCACAGGTGTCAAGGGGACAACAGGTACAAAAAAACAAATCCGGGATATCACTTACTATCATTCTAATTTAATTTTCCCCTCCCAAATGGTTAAACTGATCTGCAACAAATCTGATCATGAATGGGTAGGTTGGGTGTAATTATACAGCTTTTAGTGCAGTCATATGCAGAGCAATAATATGCTTACGCCCAGAAGTCTTCCACAGTGTCAAATTTAGAGATGAGACGGAGGTTGGCTTGCCATGTTTTGCTTTTGTCATTCTTGAAAAACCAAAGAGCCCACCTGCAAATCAAAGAAAAATCAAAGAAAAGTTATTTCAGACTACAGCTGCAAGCTTTGCCTCCACTTATGTTGCTCTTACACAAGCTTGTTTCATTAGAGGACTGCACATTTCCTACACAGCCTTTGTACTTGACAGTGAGGTGAAAGATACCCGAGTCAAATCCTAGGTACTTTTAAGTGTCTTAAAGATTATATAGGAACAAACTGGCAGTATCATTTCTCTAAAATTAAAATTGACTCATTATTGTCTTCCCAAAGTTTGATGGCATTATATGAATCTGGTAAGAGCTTAACTTTACCACTATCAGCTCTGTATTAATGCACTTGTTCTCAAAGTTGTCTGCAAATCTAATTATAACTTCTAAACTCTGTTGGGGAAAAAACAATAGAAGGCACATGAGCTGCAGTCTTACTTGTTTTGTAGTGGGTGTTTGATGTATGCTTCAGGACTTACAACCTTTTGAATGGCTGTTTCGCATTTTTCCTTTTCAGGATTTGCAGGAACTGAAGTTGACGCCTAAAGAAAAAAACAAAAACAAAAAAAAACAGCACAAACATGCATTAAAAAAGAGATTTGTTAAATTGGCACGTTTCTCATGTACCATATGTGATGACATATACTGGCACTGTTGCGCTGTTGTAATTACTAACTTTTGTTTGATTGTCATACATTTGACCTTTTTTCAAGCTGTGCTACTTTGTGAGTGGGCATGGGATGTGTGAGAGAGCGGATTGTAGATTGGAAGGGGGTATTTTCATTTTGGGAGTATGAGTAGTTAAGGAGAAGTTTGCAGTTTTTGCCACACATTGACCACACACATATGCAGATCTCAGGCACAGCAGGAGTGTAGTAGAACACAAATTTGTAAATAATATTTCTACAATACCACCCCCATAAATCCCCTTCTTCTAATGTCCATGAAAATAATATAAAATAATTTTTCATTGTACCCTGATTTATAGCTGCAGTTGTGAGGATTTTGGCAGGTAACATCCTAAATAAAATTAAACTGTTTTTACAAATAAATTTTACCAAATGTGACAAGCACCTTCCACAGACCAAACGTAACAGGGACACCTGACAATCCAACAATAAACCCTGCCAAACCTACGTTGATAACATCCACCCAGGTAGAATAACGTAAATTCACAATGAACTGCGTAGACATGTACTTGCAGAAGACGTCTTCACAACAGTATCATTTGTCGCACGATCACTGTTTTACACTGCATAATAGGCACTGATGTCATCTGTTTAACCACTACAGATCCAAGTTAGCTAAAAAGGTAACCTTTTTAAATATTAACTTTTTTCATAAATCCTAGCGCTAACGTTGTAGTCTATCCATTAACGTTAGTCGGGCACACATTAAACGGCTGACACACTAACGTTACCAATGCGTGGTTCCTCTCATTCATCCGAGGATAAGAGTTTATCTCAGGGTACTGAATGAGGTATCCACTCGGACAACAAGATGTTCACTAGTCGTGTTTCCCCCACGATGACTACAGTTTAGCGACAGTTCCTGTGAACAGTGAAAACGTGTGGCAAGCTGTAATGTTAGGAATAATTTAGGAAAAAACGACTAACGTCCATCTACAATGCTAAATGTGTAATGTTTGACTAGTGACTAATGTTACCTTCCAGGGGTAATACCGGTAAGTTTACAAAATTGCCGGAGCTGTGTTACTCGTTCAAACCTGTCGGTTACTTGGATAAACGGCTTGCTTGGATGGTAAAAGCCCAAGTTGAGTGATGTAGCTACGAGTGTGTAGCAGTGCACTCACCACCAGAGCGGTCGCCATCTTCTGGAAAACACATTCAGTTTTCTGGCGTGTGTTAAAATAGCTGATTGGGCCATCTGGTGCTCTACATAGCGCATGCGCAAGAAGATAGACAGTATTGATTATTGACAGTGGTGGAAGAATTCAGATCCTTTATGTAAGTAAAAGTATTAGAATCAAACGACGATAAAAAGAAAAAATTAAATACAAGCAGAAAGCTTTTCGTATTATATAAAGCATTAGCAGCTAAATATACTTTAAGTATCAAAAGTAAAAGTAGTCATTATGCAGAACGGTCCCTTTCAGATTATTGTATTTATTATTATACATATTTTTGGAATATTATCACTTTTTTTATTCTTCATTAACATACAAACACATTTTAATGTTGTTATTGTGGAGCAAATTTGAACAATTTAAACTGTTGGATGTTGGGTGTAAGGTATATTTCATACACTGATCATGTATTGTACATACAAAATCTTGATCTAAAAGTAACCAATAACTATAGATGTATTGATATAGATGTATAAATGTGTTGCAATAAAAAAAAATATATATATAATAATCACCTGTGAAATGTAGGGGAGTATAAAGTAGCAGAAAATGGAAATACTCAAGTACAAGTACCTCTTAATTGTACAGTACAATATTTACTTAAGTACAGTGCTTGAGTAAATGTAATTTATTACTTTCATGGTACAACATGGTATTCAGGATGGGCAGATTATTGTTAAAAATCCTAAAAAAATATCCAGTAATCAATTGTCATAGAAAAATAAAAGAGCAGATGAATTTGTCAGTGAAAGGTGGCTAAACAGTGCTCTCCAAGCTCTATTTGACTAGAGTAATTGCAAATAAAAAGCTTATAAAAAATTTAAAATCAGAAGTCCAAAGCTATTTTTCTATTTCTCATTTTCCTTTTTGGTATTTAACAGAGGCAATAGAAAATAAGATGATTGGACTTTTTTGCAGTCATCCCAAAGCTTTAAGCAATGTTGTTGATAGTGATTGTGTCAGTGTGTTAGTGTACATACTGTCTGGGTTGCAGCGTGACCTTTGGAGCCAGGGTGATACCTGCAGTCCCTGGTGGTTTATTTATATAACCCTTATCTTAAAAAAAAAACAGTGTAAAAGGTCATCACAGTTGACAAGAAACAAGAACATCTCCAAACAGCCAGAGATACCTTTTGATATTAAACCTAACAGGCACAAAAATGAAGAAATGAAGACAACTTGTGGCTGAATATTTTGCATATCAACTTGTCTTGGACTGCAAAAACACCGTTATCTGTATGTATGAGACTAGTTAGAAGTGCAAGCATCACAGAAAAATGACTAGACAGATGACAGCCTAGATTATTATTGCATTGAATGAGAGGGATGTATTACAAATCCCAAGTTGTTGAAATATGTTGTAGGCTGAGTAAAATATGCATATATTCTGTGATGTTCAGGCTTAGTAGAGATCCCTTCTAATAATCGATGTTCCTCTGAGTGCTAGAGCAAATATTTCTGATGGTGTGATTACTATTATCTTTTACTCAGGATGTACTTTGTGATCCCATCATGCAGTGGTACGCTCTGTCGGAGCCTTTGAAGACCTCACCAGAATTCAGTGCATCATTAATGCATTATTTATTCCAGATATTTTACCTGGAATACTTATTTTATTCAAATATTGCATTATGTAAAACATATCATGATTAATTACATCATATTAATGTGTATATTTTATTGTGATATTTAGTGTCCAGCATGTATTTCATGGCTAAACTCTGTTGCATAATACGAGTAGAAAGTATGAAAGTGGCACTGTGTACTGTAACTTTCAAGTAATATGATAAAATGCTGTTCAGCCAAATGCCTTTATATATAAATGTAATGTTTTCTTATAAAATGTTATGTCAGTCAGTAAATGAGCAACAAAAGGAAAAGCAAAGAACATATGCATTTCCAAAAGATTTTAATGATACCATTTTTGTTTTGAACAGGTATTCTACTGTTAATAAATTTATGTTCTAATACTTAAAGTTACGTCAACAAAGTGCAGAGAAATGCAATAAGTGCTGCAACTATGGAGGGAAATTGTTGAAAGGCTGGACATGAAGGATATCAATGCTGTAGGCACTTCAGAAGGTCAGCACTGTGCGGATACTGCAATGAGAAAAGAGAATATATGTTAGGCTGGGAAATAAAGAACTACAGCCAACAGAACTGCAGAAAGCAAAAATGTGTATATGCTGAACTGTTCTTCTCACCTCTTTCCGGCATGCATAAGGTCAAATCCCTCATTGATCTGCTCAAAGGGAAGGGTGTGGGTAACAAACTCATCCACCTTCAGCTTCTTGTTCATGTAGTCTTCCACCAGTTTAGGAACACTCTCCACACTCTTCCAGCCTAGGGTGAATATGAAAACTAGTTAAACAACCTTAATTGTCAATTAGCCAAAATTAATCAGTATGAATAACACACATGTAGCACCAAAAGGCCTTGAGCAAAGCACTTACTAACCAGAAAACTATATAAATACCTGGTCAAGTTTGACTTGGTAGAAAAACTAAAATGACCTCAAATCATATTAAACTACAATAACTACAATTTGATGACCATCTCAAGGCTAATTAAATACCACTACATCTACATACATTTTCATAAGAAAGCAATCTGCTGTCTTTGTGTCAAATTATTAAAAGAAAAGTTTTAGCTACAGTTTAAACTCAGCCTGATAAAAGTGGATCGCTTTGTAAATCGCTTTTTACATCAGTCTACAACTGCTTCCTGTCTCAGATGATAATAAGCAAAAGGGTTTGAACTTGCTGAAATTTTGGAACTGCTGCCAGACCACATTAAGCTCTTTATGACAAGAAATTCTCTAACAAAGTCACCCACCTCCAAAGGCTGTTCCCCTCCACACTCGGCCTGTCACCAGCTGGAAAGGTCTGGTCGAGATTTCCTGTCCAGCTCCGGCAACACCGATGATGACACTTTCACCCCATCCTTTGTGGCATGCCTCCAAAGCAGCTCTCTGAAATAATAAACTGGTAATTTTTCTGGTTTCTATGCACTGCCAACTTATGAATAATGTTTCATATGCTGCTTGTGCCACCTGTCAACTACACTGAACACAATGCATATGTGCACTGGCTCTTCTATGGACACCAACAGCCAAATTAAGATGATACATGAACACTATCAACTTATAACAGTGTTTTACATGTTGCTTATTCTGTATCTATGTGATGTGCCGCATGTTTTGCATTAATTAAACATGAACACACAGTAAGTCTCACCATGATTTGCACATTTCCAATGCACTCAAAGGAATAGTCCACGCCTCCGTCAGTCATCTCCACCAGAACCTCCTGGATGGGCTTGCTGTGGTCTTTGGGGTTCACAAACTCAGTGGCTCCGAACTCCTTGGCTTTCTCAAACTTTGCAGGGTTGATGTCCACGCCGATGATCCTGGTTGCCCCAGCTACCTTGCATCCCATAATAACAGCCAAGCCAACAGCTCCAAGGCCAAAGACAGCGCATGTCGAGCCAGGCTCAACCTGAGCATGCGTGAAGAAGAAAAAGCAATGTGAGAATTCAAATATTACAAAATCATTATCATTGAATGTTAATAAAATTCTATGTATGAACTTGAAATGTGTTTTGGCTGATGTAACTGATCACATTTACTTATACAAATAACAGAGCTGGATTTTCTTGCACGTTACATTGAGTTGTGGAGCAATTTATTTCTCTTTTTAATGTATTTACCAGGGATTAAAAAATTGACAAAAACTTGGAAACACACAGCGAAATTCTTTCTGTAAGGATATCATTAAATGTTTTTTGAAATGTTGCAAGTAAATTTGTTAATGCATTATTGTCTGTTTCCAAGTTGGGAACTGAGCCCCTGGCAACAATTCACATCCGTTCTGCATGATTAATATGGGTGACCTATTTCAGAGTGAAGCCTGGCAACAGTGACAAAGTTTGAATCTCTTTCATTGGTCCCTTGAGGATATACTGCAACAAACATGTTTTGCATTAAAATAAAAAAAACTTTAAACAATAACATGTGTCACGACTTTGCAGTGGTGAAAAAAAAAAAAAATCATCAACAAATGTTTTTATTTTTTGTTAGGAGGCAACCAACAGCCTGTGATACCCACCTTGGCAGTGTTAAGAGCTGCACCATAACCGGTAGAAATGCCACATCCAAGAAGGCACACTTTATCCAGCGGAGCATTCACGTTCACCTTGGCTAGAGAGATGTCAGCCACCACAGTGTACTCTGTGAAGGTGCTGGTACCCATGAAGTGAAACACTTGCTTTCCCTTGCAAGTGAAGCGTGAGGTCTTGTCAGTGAGCAGGCCCTGGCCCTGGGTTACTCTGCAGGGTGGAAGCACAGAGAGAAGATTGTTTCATTTTATGTGTGTATGATGAAATACAATTGCTGTGCACCTCAGTGCACAGCAGACAGAAGCTCAAACTGATGATGACTGAGCTTTGATTTGTCTGCCGTGGAGTAAAGTACCTGAAGCTATGAGACTTACTACTGAGGTTGCCTTTTGACATTTTTAAATTTCAGTCTTATCACTAAAGAAAAAAAAGACTATCTGAAAACATTACCTAATTTTCTGGCAAAGGTTGGTCTTGGGATTTTTGCAGAATTTGCATTCACCACACTGTGGTACATACAAAGGAATGACGGTATCACCTTTGTCAAAGAGAATTGTCAATAATTAAAATCATACAAGGAGTACTTCTTTTAACACAGCACAAGCAAGTTTCAACATTTTGACTGGTGGCTCCATACCTGGTTTGAATTTGGTGACACCTTCACCGACACTCTCAACAGTCCCTGCACCCTCATGGCCCAAGATGACAGGGAAAAGACCCTCGGGGTCACTGCCACTCAGGGTGTAGGCATCTGTATGACACACCCCTGTAGCAAAAATCTAAGAGGTAAAATGTTATTTAATGTTTATGTCAGGCACAGCAGTGAGATATATTGTGGAAAACAAAGGGGAGATTTTTCTGCTTCTTGTGCTGATGAGGCCTGACCCTGAGAGGAATACAAAAGGTGAACACAAAGATAAATACATAAAGAGCCTGAGCTGGCCTTCCAAATCTCTCTTATTAGTTACATTCATGTTATGCCTCTCTGGCATGGCAAACGTTGTGTGGTTTGGTTTGGTTTACCTTGATGCGGACTTCATGGGCCTTAGGTGGTGCTACCTCCACATCCTCAATGGAAAGAGGCTTTCCAGGTTCCCAAGCAACAGCTGCCTTGCATTTGATCACCTGAAGGCAGAGTACAGTATGTTTTTCATACAACGCTGCTACAATTAAATGAGTAACTTGTGAGTAACACCCACTGTGGGTGGACTGCAGCTGTACAGTGCCTGTGACAGGCCGAGCTAGCTGCACAGTGTAGTTAGCCTTTGAACTGTATGGAAGCTTATGCAAGAGTTTCAATTCTTTACTGCTGGAGTACTGTTAACGTTCTGCTTTAATAACATTAACGCTAAATGTGCGAGACGTGGGTGCAACGTATTGGTCAATAAACTAGATTCATGTGCTTTAATTGCTTTGTTAACTTTACATTTCTTTTAATTTATCTCTCGGGGCAACCGTAACAGCAGTTTGCACATACCAGTTGCGACCAACCGACCCCAGATCCCCGTTAAGTAATTGAACAGTGATTATTTGTACTTGTTCATTCAACGCACGTGACTGCGTGCAAGTAAATTAAAAGAACCTTGATTTTTTGTTTGCTACAAGTGAAATTGAAGCCACCTCAACGACACATGCATTAGGAAAGAATGCATTTAAAACATTTGTTGCGGATTTTGGGGGAATCTACTTACTTTTCCAGCTGTCTCCATGTTCTTTTCCTTCAGCACGAAAGGCCGGGGCGGCTCGTGGCCGTAAAGGAGTCAGTGGCTGGACCAATCAGAGAGCAGAACGTGCAAGGTATGCATGACGCAAACACGTCTGCTACAGAAAGTATCTCGAGGAGGCAACAGAACAGCTGTACACGGTTTGAAAATATAATTGTGGAATTGCTTTATAAGTAGTGGATATAATTACCAACATTTACGTGTAGAAACTCATTCTTGACGTCAGAAGTAAGAGTTGGTCATCATGAATATACTAAATATGGGAAGATTAGGGTAGTGATTTTTATTAAACTTGGTGGAGAAGGTATTGAGATGGAAGAAGTAAAAGTAAAAAATGACACTGCAAAAGTCCTACATTGAAAATGTTACTTCAGTAAATGTAAGTATAATTATTGCCATATAAAATGCTTTATTTTCTATTCTGGCTAACATTGTTGGATAAAAACATCTCCAACTAAGTACAATTTATGTATCCTGCTTCAGAATGTCAGGGATTCTTGTGACACCTGAGAATATAAAATAGAAACACAGTTACAAAGCACCTTTTATTCAAGGTCTTTAACAAAAATGTGACAATAATTGAAGATTTTACAGTTATTAGTATGTTTTCAACTAACACTGAATAAAATCTGACTTCCTACACATTTTCCAACAACTGACAAAAGTAATGCGTGGAAGTGTGTGAATGTCTCTCCTGAAATCTTTATCAAAAGCACAAACATCCATCATGGTCAAACATTTTAACACAATCAGCACAGGATAATGACGTGCCTGTTCACAAAAGGAGTCTGTAACCCTTCACAACAGGCTGAAAAGGTCCCCGCTATGTTCCACCTTTTAAATAAAAATTATCAAGATTCATCACACCTTTAAAACTGGTACAAAATAAAACAAAATAAAAAGATACACTCAAGTTCTACAAATAGAGGCAATGTCCAACCCCTGAGTCCAACAAGACAGGCACTGGCATAGAACACAGCCTTTATGCTTGAGAAGGTGTAGATAGGGATGAAAAGATCACACCACACCACCACTGTCAGATCATCTCCCGCCTACAAGTAAACAAAAAGAAAAAGATAAATGCGAGTATTACACACAAAAACTACATAACAACACGTGCACCTTCACATTAGGAAAGGCAACAAAACATTTTGGAGCACGGAACAAGGGCCAACCTCTGAATCCACGTCCGCCACCACCTCCTCTTCCCCTGAAACCTCCTCCACCGCGTCCACCGCCTCCAAATCCTCCAAATCCTCCACCACGGCCACCTCCGCCCCTGCCACCTCGAAATCCACCTGCAACAAAAACAAAAGCAAAGTAGAATTAATCACATTTCCAAGAAATGCTCTAAATAAGTTTTCATTTTCACTCTAAATCCACAGCAGCTAAGACTCACAGATAAGCATAAGTGCCCAAGTGGATTAAAACTCTGGGTGTTTTTTTTTTTTTATTCAAAAGAAGCTTCACTGAGAGCTAACCTGTCTATTACAGGAACACCCTGATTGCATGCACACAGGTACACACATTCACACCCAGAAGCTTCCCAGCACAACCACAGTCTGATTTAATGCTGCCAGGTCACAAGCTCTCTTCTCTCAACTTTGAGCCACCACTGGCCAATGATCTACATATTCACCAACAATAGGAGACAGATCTAATTAAAATGAGACATTAAGTTTGGATGCCTCACCTCCACGTCCACCACCTCTTCCTCCACCTCTACCCCCACCTCGACCTCCTCTTGGCGGCCCCTTCTCTCCTGGCGGCCTTGGGAGGAATCTCTGCAGCGGGAGGAGCTTCATTGGATCTATATAAAACTAAAAGGAGAACTTGTAAATTACATATAGTTTATTACACAGAGGCGCTGTAATGCTGTTAAGTATGCAAATGAACTACATTAAAATGTTATTGATGTTTTATACCTTCTGCAGTTTCTTAAACGAAGATGCCTTCATATTTTCAGAAAGTTTGACTGAAAAATACTGCAAGGACAGGTTAAGGAATGAACTGGAACAGCAAGAATGATATCTATACCCCAGATGTTCAACTTTCTCTCTTTATTATTTTATTCAGAGGTCCAGAGACTGAAAAAAGAGTAACAGAAAGGATACAAAGTCCCGGAGCTGGCCGAATATCTCATCCACCTTCCCGATCTGCTCCTTGTTTTCCAAGTACACTGGGGCATTGAAGTAAGGAACTTTGTTTTCCTCCGTTGTACACCTACACACAATATCATCTTCACAAGGATGCATGAACTCTCCCAGTGCTGCAGAGTGGAAAGACATTGAAAAAGTTGGTTGTGTAAAACCTGGAACAGCCATCAAGATGATGTCCCGCTTTCAATTTCTCTCCATTGCTCAAAAGACCACCCAGAATGCAAACAGTTGTGACATGAAAACAGTGGCAACAGTGGAAGTTTTGAAAAGAAATTGGCAAAAATAAAGTACACAGAAAAACTGCTAGGCATAAACACAGCGGTTGAAATTTACAACTCGTAAGTGTTCAGACAAGAGACAACAGTCAGCTGTGTGAGAAAAAAAATAACTACATAACATTGCCAATTTAGCACGCAGTCTACCAAGTTTGGTTTAATTACCATGGAGAACAGGCTTTAACTTCCATATTATTACACCCAGTGTCTGATATAGAGTTTCCTTTTGTACTTACAACTTGCATGTTGACGTTAATGGTGTTTAAAGTTGGAAACGGGGTAACTTTCCAATGACATTAACAGGTGGTCACACTCATTATACAGGTGAAATATTTTTGAGTCTGTGATGTTTAAGTGTTTGGTGCTCAAGGTGGATCTAGAAGTAGTTAGTTTAAAGTTTTCTAGCTACTTCCTATATTTATCACACTGAAGCTCATTGTTGAATCCTCAGCATATTGACCAATATCAAATGGCTCACTGGCAGGAATATCATCCTCTGCACCATGTTTTCAACATGACTATTTAGTGATTTGATGATCTTACCAACAACGTATTCTGGAGGACCATAGTCTTGCTGTCTGTTGAAACCACCTCTGCCACCACCCCGTCCAAATCCTCCACCTCTGCCTCCACCAAAGCCTCCTCTGCCTCCTCCACCTCGGTTAAAACCTCCACCTCTTCCACCACCTCGTCCGCCTCCTCCTCTGAAAGACATTTTCTCCTCGAGTCCTCTGTGATCAAACAAAAGACAACATAAAAAAACGCGAATCAGTGGTTGGTTAAATGCAGCATGTGGACTTCCAACACTGTGGACTTAGAAGCGCTAAACAAGTTTTAGCTAACATGCTAACTCAAGTCCGTCGTCCAAGCTATAAAAAGTCACCCGCATTTCCTCACACAAAGCAATAAGTTATACACTTGCTTCTAAATGTAAAGAATGAAAAGCCTACAAAGCTTTCAACACACATTTAAAGCAGAACACTCACGAATTTGATCGGCTTGCAGCAGCTATTTACACCGAGGGATATCCATGCGATGACAACACGTGTGACCTAAGACTGCCGTAAAGCTACTCATCAGTGTCGGTAAGTGTCGGAAATTCGCTCTCAAGCATAGACTGTATATAAAAGCTCCCCTGCCGCTGACTTTCTTTTTTAAAGAAGCAGACCAGCAACTGGTTGACTCATCCACGGAAACATACCAGACTCGGTCAGTATGACTGCAAATGGCACATAGTTATTTCTCTGTGACTAGAGATTTAAATATTCTTTTGTTCAAATGCAGGAAATTTAATTAGCAGACATCAGTCAACAATGTCAACAACAGGTCAGGTAAGAAAAACAACTTAATTTACATTGTATGCACTGTTTGTTTTATAAAGAATGTTATTATTAATACCATTGTTATAATTATTAAGTTTTTTTTTTCATTCTGATGTTCATTGTCCATTACTGGCCCCATTTTGTGCCTCACAGATATTTATAAGGGACTTAGGTCATCATTACACACACAGCAACCACACCCAGCCAAAACAGGCTTTAACACAGCATGTTGCTCACATACTGTGACTTTTTTTCTTTCTTTCTCAGGTGATCAAGTGCAAGGCAGCTCTTGCTTGGGAACCTGGCAAACCTCTGGCCATTGAAGATGTGGAGGTGGACCCGCCTAAGGTCCATGAAGTCCGCATCAAGGTCAGTTGCTTATCCCAAAGTTGGCTGCAACAAGGAAACCATGTTTATTATAAGTTGGAACTTATTGTTTGGGTTGTAAATGGATGCACTTGTGAAAGTTGCAGGGCAGAAATTTCAGTAGGGACAGCTGTTGTTTTCTCAGAAATAGTTATTTGGAGTTGTTTTGACAGAATAATATGAACTAATTGAAACCATGGCACAATATTAAGTTCCCTCAGTGACAAATCCATCCAAGTCTAAAATAGCATAAAATTGTATTACTCATATAGACACCGTTTTTACTGTGATCATACAGACAAGAAATGCTGACAGGAAGCATTTGAATATTTTTGACTTCCTCTGTCTCAGTTTCTTTCCTATTGGTGGCATATTTTACACCAACTATAAATAGTTCATAAAGCTGTCAAGTGAGCCTGCCTGTTTGTACAGATTGTTGCCACAGGTGTGTGCCACACAGACTGGGAGTACCTGTATGGGCAAGGAATGAAGTTCAGACCATTCCCATTAGTTCTCGGCCATGAAGCAGCAGGAGTGGTAGAGAGTGTTGGTCCAGAAGTCACCAAATTCTCACCGGGTAAATTATACAGCTCACAGCATACATAGAACATACATAGAACTGTAACTGAATTAGCTTTTTGTTGTTTTCAGGGGATAAAGTCATTCCTCTTTTTCTGCCTCAGTGTGGGGAATGTGAGCGATGTCTGAGTCCTAAAACAAATCATTGCAGGAAAAACTGGTGATTTCATTACCACATGTTTACACACAGACATGCACCTTTGCTGTATTGCTGTCATGGTGTTTCGCTGCATATTGATCCTTTATTGGGGCTTTTAGGGCAAATATGCAAGTGGGTGTTTTGGCTGATGGCACAAGCAGGATTTCTTGCAAGGGACAGCAAGTGTACCAGTTCCTCGGTATCAGTTCCTTCTGCCAGTACACTGTGGTTCCTGACACCTCGCTTGCAAAGATAAGAAGTGATGCACCACTGGATAAAGTGTGTCTTCTAGGCTGTGGTGTCTCCACCGGTTATGGAGCAGCTGTTAATACAGGCAAGGTAAGAGGATACTTCCACTCAAGTCATAACTTGAATTCACACCAACTCTGATGTGGACCAGTGGTTATTCTGTGCAGGTCTCTGTAGGTTCTTAAAACACGAGGCATGCAGATGCAAGAAATTTGCATAAACATTTAATCGCAAATATGTCCATTTATAATTAGTTGAGCTTATTTTACCAAAATGGATTTACCGTCAGAAGGAAAACATCTTAGTTGTAATGTGTATTTGACATTTTCCTAAGTTGCTACCTATTGATGTTAACAGCATTTGGCAGGAGAGCAGTTACTTATTCTTCCCACTAGATGTCAGTACATAACATGAGCACCATGTAAGTGTAGTTAATGGGTTAAAAAGTACTTACAAGTTCCGTATTCCACACCTCCTGGTTTTTTTTCACAGACGTAGGACTGCTCAGTAGTAATTTAAGGACAAACTCTTAACTGAAGGCAAAGTGATACCATGAACAAAAGTAAGATAATGATAGAGCATTCTTGTATCTGTTCTCTCAAAATATTCCAGCCAATGGAAAATTTAAATGTGGTGACTGTACAGTGAAATTCAAATTGCATTTTTGATATGATAAGATATCAGTATTTCATTTAAATAGCATTTTTTGAATCAGGCTTGCAAAGTCCTCGATAAACAATGAAGAAAAGCCAAGAAGGCTTAAAACCCTGGTTTACACAAGCACGCTTACACAAGAATAAAATGCCACACCAGAAAACAATTAGATTTGCATGTATGTGATTGATATGTTTAGAAGAATGAAGTCAAAATGTAAAATATAAAAGTTATTTGTGAACATCAGATGTCACTTTAATAGCTGTCTGAGTTGATTCCCACACGGTGTGCATCCAGGTTGAAAAACAATCCTCATGTGCCGTGTTTGGGCTTGGAGCTGTTGGACTGGCCGCCGTCATGGGCTGCCAGGTTGCTGGGGCAAAAAGGATCATCGGGGTCGACATCAACCCTGACAAGTTTGAGAAAGCTGCAGTGTTTGGAGCCACTGAATGTGTCAACCCCAAAGACCACAGGAAGCCCATCCAGGAGGTTCTGGCAGAAATGACAGATGGAGGGGTGGACTACGCTCTGGAGTGTGTTGGAGATCCAGCTATCATGGTGGGTGTGCGACAGTTTCACACATTTTTTCACATGAGTGTGTCACTGTGTAAATGTATTTTAAAGGCAGTATTAATCATCCTAGACTGCTGCATTTGAGTCTACAAAAGATGCCTGGGGCTCCTGTGTGATTGCTGGATGGACAGAGACAGGAATGATGAACGTTGTGGTTGAAAAGATCCTCATGGGACGCACCTTGAGGGGGACTTATTTTGGAGGTGAGCTTAAAACAAGTTACCAGGCCTATTGCATAATGCTTCAGCAACAATTTATGGCAAGTGGCATGATAGAGAGATGGAGTGACTGAGTGACTAAGTGGAAAGATAATAAAAATGCTAACACACATTGTCAAAGCCTAAGGTAATGTCTTGAGATTACAATGTTTTGTCTGTTCAACAGTGAATGAATGTTTTATACTTTTGCTTGATTAATGATTAATTAGCATTAATTATAATTAACAGTTAATTGATGATGTAGATTTTAGTCGATCCTCAGTCAGGTAATGGCTTTAGGAGTTTTGATGGAAGTCCCCCACAGTCAAAAAGTTACTGTTGACTCAGTAGAGGCAGGTAGCTAACAGAAGCTTCAAGCTAGCTAGACCAGAAAAAAATGCAGACACACATTACATCTTTAGTAAAGCAAAAGGCCCTTGGTCACTTCTATATCACAAAACGAGAGAAAGATCACACTTATGTAATGTGCGTGTAAAGTATGTAAAGATATGCTCACCCTCTGTTAAAAGCATCAAGTCCTAACCCAATATCTGGATTATGCCTCTCTGGAAACACAAAGTCTCTAAATGAAGTAAAGTAGGTCCACCAGTGCAATAACATCTGATATGGATTGAACATCACAGATTTAATGATATCTATGTATCTAAGGGTGATGGTCACTTAAGGCAGGAAAATGGAAAATATAGTAAAAGATGACAAGAAAAGTGCTCTGTTCAGCAGCTCATTAATGGCCACTGGTTCATGAGGACTCAATTTCATTAACCTTTTCTAAAGGTTGGAAGAGTGTGGAGGATGTGCCTAAACTGGTGGATGACTACATGAAGAACAAGCTGAAGCTGGATGAGTTTATCACACACAACCTCCCACTGGATCAAATCAATGTGGCCTTTGGCCTTTTGAAAAGTGGGAACAGGTAAGAACTGATTTATTTGTAGCTGCTAGTTTTGGCGTTTTTGTTTGTGATGTGTATATTCTTGTATAACTCAAATTATAGGGGCACAGATCTGTTCATGGAGTCACATTATTGGAGACTCATTATCTATTTGGGGACAAAAATCCGCATCCCACAAAGTTAATAATTTAAGACTTGGTTTATGGTTCAGGTTAGAATGCGGGTTAAGCACAGCATTTTCCTAAATATTATGACCTCGCAGTTGTTTTTCAAACTGCTGCTATGGCCATCTTTGCATACTTTTGCATACCATATGCATACCCCGCCTTTGCTTCTTTTTATCTTGAAACTGTTCCCACACACCATGAAATATCTGATATATAAAGGACACTTACATAGATGGATCACTGTCCTGAAATGACAGGAGGCCCCTGGGCCACAACCTTTGTGTGAAGTGGCTCTTTAATATTTCTTGTTTGATAGTCATAGAGCTCAGAATCTTTCAGTCTGAGGTCCCATATAGGGGTAAGTCTTGGAATTTGATTAGTTCTCAGGAAAACATAATAAACTTTACAAATAGATGATTTTTCAGGAATATATTTGATATACTGTGTGTGTGTATATATATGTGTGTGTATATATTCTTTCTGTCTATAAGGGCTGTAACTAACTATTATTTTATCTGCACATTATTTTCTTCATTAATTGCTTCTCTATACAATTTCAAGAAACTGTGAAAAATATTCACCATAGTTTCCCAAATTCTAAGGTTTCCTCCAAGACTAAGACTAAGAATTGTATTACTCATGTGGGCATTACCTCTAGTTTTTATTTTAACACATTTGACTTCCGCTTCCTCTTCTAAGTTCCTCTATTTGAATATATTTAAATGTAATGTTTTGCTGCAACAACAGTCACAAATATTTTCAGTTTACAATTGTAGTATTCTGGCTTCAAGCTGAAGCCAGGTAATGTTGACTTTAAAGGGAAAAAAACTCTATCTAAATAGTTGATTGATTAGTTTGTTAGTTAGTCTGTCTGAGTGAATAATTGTCTAATCATTGCAATTCTCTTTTCTGTGTTATGTTTTGGGTTTGGCCAGAAATCTATGACTTCACTTATCCTAATCATTTCTCTTCCTTTTTTGCCCTAGCATCCGTACTGTAATCAGTCTATGAGATTCTCAAGAGGAGGCTCAAGCTCAAGCAGCTACCTTACATGTTGGAAGATTGGCAGTCAAGTCATTCCAATTTGTATACAACTCGTGACTGATGAATTGATGATTGAAGATGAATGATTATACTCTTTTTCTTAAAAGACATTGATAATTAATATTTTTCCATGCTTGACCTTGTAGCAAATGAGCACTTTTGCCACTAGATGGCAGTCTTATGTCACGTAAAAGCCTCTGTGTTTGTGTCCATGCATACTATCTAACTTTGTAAAGACGTTGCTTTTCTGCATTCTGCATTTCTTTGTTTTTATTCAGATTAAATTCTACGGTCGTTTTGTTCTTGATGTTCAAAGACTTGATGATCATAGAAACACCACAGAACATTTAGTACACTTCCGTAACCTGATACCGAATGTAATGCCTATACAGCATCTGCAGTAACGTCAAGACAAATCTCCACATCTGTCACACTTGGCCTCCACAGTCATTCTGGACTTGATATCAATGTGAAGTGATAGTTGGAATTAAATACGTTTGTATAGAAGATGGGGTGAAAGACACAGGAACCAAATGGCTGAATCTGTCATCAGCCTGCCTCATGTGGTCAGGCTTACCAAATTTCGTCCTTGGTAATATTATATATTGATTTAAAAGGGAGTCAGAGAGAAGGGCTAAAATAACAGTTGTGGTCTGTCAGGACAGAAGACAAAGGGTTGTTTGGTGAAGGTTGTTCTAAGTTCTTCTCAGTGAAGCACTGAAATAGCTGTCGAAGGAATTTGTTTTATTGAAGTTCCATTCAGATCAAATGTGGACCTTTGGCAGTTCCCCCTGCTTTTCCATCTTTATTTAAAATGGAAGATAAATTGGTGCTCTTCCTCTAATGTTGGTCTCCTCTGTCTGTGTGCTATCAATCACAGATTATACATCTTATACCCCCCTCCTGCCCCCTCCTCCTCATAAAGAATCTCAAAGCAAAGACGGTTTTCGAGAAATAGAAAGCAGAATACTGCAGAGAATGAAACAGTAGAGAGAGATAACGGAGGGAGATCAAAAGGAAAAGGAAGACAAGTTTTGACAGGTGGTTATGTGACTGGGCACGCTCAACTATAAATGTTGGACATGCTCGCAGATTTATAAGGCTTTCTTGGGGACATGTGTCTGACTGTCTGCCTCATCTATGGGAAATCTATCCAAAGTGACGACCATAAGTCTCCTACTGTTTTTTTTCTCTTTGTGTTTGAACTCTGCAACCTCTGGAATTGTCACAACATTGTGCAACTGATACAGGGAGGACGTGCTATCTGAATTACAACCACAGCATTGTACACATTTTTGTCCATCTTGTCATGTGTCACATTCATCTGTGAAGCTTTTCTGCAGATACCGTCTGGATAGGAAACTTTGGCATAACGTGGCATGGAGTCGAGTAGTGATAGAGACAGCAACCCTAACATTTGCAAATCATATTTACATATTTATTTCTATGTTCGTTCTCCCTTGTTTTTACCTATTGCTGTCATCACTCCACTGCGACAACTCTTTCAGACATGAGACTTCATGAAGATAATTGACAAACAATAGAAATGCCAGATGAGGTAAATGCCATCACAAAAATAAGGGCATGTCTGGAAAAAAAAATGTCAAAAAGTGCCGCCTTGCCTTCCACAATATTTAGATTGGGATCAAGAGATTTCCCCTTATTTATTAAGCTATATTCCTGTGTGACAGGCAGATAATGACATACTGAACATGATGAGAGCATAAAAATAGTGGGTGGGTAACACCCTATTTTAACAGACAGTGGTTTTATAGTCAAAAACAACAAAAAATATAATACACCATTACCCACTATTTATATTTGTTTTGTTTTTTTTATATTTGTTTCACTTCATCTTAGTCATGCTTTTTCTGGCTGTTTTCCTCAGTGAAAACAACTGTGATGTGAAAATTCATATTCATAGCAAGTATCAAGAGAGACTGTTTCATTTACTGAAGTGTAATCTGTAGACTGGGTTTCTCAGATTTTTTCACCAAGATCACAGTGATAAAGAAGATAAGTCTGCTGTTCATTTACTCCAATTTCATGCAAACCTTACACACCTTTTTAGTGTTAATAGTTTTCTGCATGCTGCAACTAAGCCTGTAGCAACTTATAAATAATCAGCTTTTTTTTTTACAAAAGACATTTCTTGCAAAGACAGGTGTAATTAATAAATGAATCAAGGCTGGATTCCATTTGGCTGCTTCTGTTTCAAGGTCCTGGTATTGTTCATGCCTGCTCACTGTCACGCTCTCATGGCTTACTGAGACTCTTGAATGTGCTTTTCCTACTATGACAAGTCAACATGTGCTGCTCTGAAAAACAGCCATGTTACATAACTAGATATGGGATTTTGGCCATTTTAAATGCAAGCCCATTGCAAGGGTTTATATTACTGCATATGTGTAAGATGACATTACTGTGCTGTCACATAAACTGTTTGTACACCTGTTGGTCTAAATGTCTGCCATATGTCTCGTGAACATCATAAACAGAAGACGTGAAACCACATTAATACAAGAAAAACTACTGTATCAACATCTCTGAGAAATAAGCCAGAGGAGCAGCACATCTGAAAGAGACATAGCCAGTTAGGCAGAGAGAGATAGAGGGATGGATATACTGTATAGCCCCAATGGCTATGGAAGAATGGCCCACTTAAGTCACTAAAGACTGCCAATGTGAGGCCCCTGTTTTATCCGCAAATCCTGGCCATTATACGGCTAATGTCAGGCATTGCCTGTGACATCCCTGGTCTTTCTTTGACACGGTTAGCTTTAGCCTCTGTGTCAGTGGAATATACTCAGCTTCAGCAGGGGACAGCACAGTAGGCTACAGTGCTTGATGTCTTGGAGGGACAGTTTTAGTTGTCTGCTGCATTAATGAATTGTGCTGTAACAAATCTGACACAATAGTTTATTGTTATCAACTGAAACATTGACATTTTTAGGATTTATGAACAAACTGCCACGTTCTAGTCTTGATAAAAAATACATTGTGACATTATGAAGGGTCTTAAGATTTTAAGGTTTCATAGTAGACCAAAGTGGTTGTAGAATCAAACCTGAAAATAGTTGGTACTGATGTTTTTCAGATGATGACAATGGTCTACTTTTACCATATTGTCCAGATGTGCTGTTTCAAAATAAAATCCACAAACCTTTTTTTTTTTATGTTTCTATACCAAACCCAAAGTTTGGATGCATTACACACATATAAAAAGCATTGAAATTGAATTTAAAAATAAGACATCTGTGTTGGCACTCTTCATGCATACATTTTAAAAGTCCATGGTCCCACACTTCAGAGGCTTTTTTGTAATACCAGACCCCTTACCACAATAATGACTATATCACGCTCTTCTCATTGAGCCATGCAAGACCATATGTTTTGTATTTTGTAACCTGTCAATCATATTGTGTCAGTGTTTTATAGTTAAGTTGCAACAGAAATAGACAACAAAGAACGGGATTAGACAGACCACACATGGCTATTACCAAAGAGACACACAAACACACACACACATAAAGAGCTGCATGCGTGACAGCTCTAAGCTTTTGTTGTGTTTTGTCTGACAGCAGCAGTAAAGTAGTAATTGAGAGATTAGCACTAAGGTGCTATCATGGCACTCCTTTGTTTGGCCTCTCCCTTATTGGTCACACAGAATACTACTAGAATGTGTGGGAAGGAGATAGTTGGTGTAGTTTGATTTACTTTAGTTTGTTTGAATCTGTCATAAATGAGCTTGTCTAAATATGGCATCCATAGCAAAGACAATACACAATATAATATTTTGATTACAGATAAATATCATACCATGATTGTCAAATAGCAGGATTGCATAATCAGATTTTCTGCATGCATAGATGTGGTAATACCCCTGTCTTTGATCCTTATTGTCATAGAACTTAAAGATTGATTACCGTAACTGTATCGTAGATCATTTGACCTTGTGGGCTTGACAGAACTCATCCACGACAGACTTGGACCCAGCCCTATCCCCGTCTGCCACAATGCTTTTTTCAGCGTGCCAACATTGAGTCAACAGAGTCATTTCATGTGGTTATGGGCTGGAGGTAGGGGGAGATATTTCTCTCAGACCCTGTGTGTTTACCCCCTAATCCCTGAGAAGAAGTTCACAAGCATGAAGAAAGTACTGGGAGATTTAGCTACCTCCCAAACCTGCTCAGTTTGCAGCTCCCTTGTCTTCCACAGCCACAACGGGCTCGGGTAATTCCTGGGAATGTTTGTGAAGGTATTTTTTTGTGTGATTGTAAGAATATAATTGGTATGAAATTGCTGGTTGTGTTCTTATATGGAACAATGTACAATAGTCTGTACACCAGACAGGAAGAATGTGTGCATGTTCACTGTCTTCTACTAGTTTTACTTTTATTCACAGTTGTTACTATGTGTCATAAAACTCAACTGAGTTACCTCTCTGAATAAAACAGACTTATTAATAACTTTATTTGTTTAGCACTTTTATTAATTATCATATGTCTATGAAAGACAAAACAAAATGATACGGTGAAAATTATAACCAGATAAAATTAGATAATGATCATCTTCAGCAAATTTAATCTTGGCAATTGCAAGAAGAGCTTCCTCCTAAATGTGTGCCCTTGTAAATATGAGCTTAGTAGATCATATTAATAGAAGGCTAGTATGGTGATGTTTATATTCAGCATTTAGTAACAAAACTGTCTGCAATTGTTCCAAAATGCAGCTGCAGTGATTCTAACTGGAACTAAGAGAAGACACCACATTACTCTAATTTTAGTATCCCCTTTTTGACTTTCAGCTGTCTCAAGATTACAATTCACATGCACAACATAGAGTTACAATAATGAGGATGGGATTTTATGAACACAGAAATGACAGTGACAGACAGAAATGGTATTACTACTATGACTACCACTAAGAACAAGAACAAGAACGACAACAAGAACAAGAACAAGAACAAGAACAAGAACAAGAACAAGAACAAGAACAAGAACAAGAACAAAACCAAGAACAAGAATGAGAATTATACAAATAGGATAGATTAGCACAGTGTTAGCATGTACCTACTGTACATGCTAACACTGTCTATATGATACCAACAATCTAAAGTATTTTTGCCTGATTGCAGCTGTATAAATTCTTGAGTGACATGTGTCTGGCTAATTATTTTGCTCTTCTCATTTTAAATTACATTGGATGGATGTGATACATAAATGGATAAAATGCAAATTGTAATCTCTAAAATGTTTAACTTGACATGAATTAATCCTGCAACACTGAGAAAAATGTTTTTGCACTTGTTCTGTTTGGCCCTGAAAAAGATTCTGGCTCTGGTGACTCTTGAGTTGTTACAATATATTTGTTACATGTCGATCTTACTTGATATATCTTCCATGACTCTCACGGTTGTGGCAGGACAAGAAGAATCAAGATGAATGTGCGGTGAGTCATAGTTACCTTGTTATACTGCCACAGTAAAGCGCATCATTCTGTTTTTCTCCTTCTCCTCTCGTCAACTCACTGTTGTCCAAAGAAGAGGCTCCCAAATCACTGTTCCTTGGCCAGCTGCCAGGCCACAAAAGGATTGGGCCAATCCCAAAAAATACACTTCTAACTGAACACAGTTGAAACACTTTTCTTTGGCTGGTAATTGTGGTGAAACGAAACCTGAAATGATCCATTACAGGTGACTGGGCCCATTACTCATTCTCAAGCATCCCACAGTTTTCAGTTATACATTGGCAGGCAGGATACAAGTGAGTAATGATGAATTTATATTTAGGTATGTTTTATGTATAAAGCTGGCTCTGGCCAGGGTGAAATGTACTGAATTATAAAGAGTGATTCAATTATTCTATACTGCTTTGTCACTGCCTTTCAAAGGGGTTTACATAATAATCAACAGCACTAATTAAAACTTATTAGTTGAAAATCTAATAATAAAATTACCGGAAAGCTTTTAGTCAACCCCATTCATATATGCAGTTATTTTTCATGTGGAAATTTGCTATGTAAACACAACAAGTTATAAAGAAGTTAGAGAGTTATAGAGAACAGGGTATGGCAGCATAGAAATCTGATTGGATGTTGATAGCTGACATAAACCAACATTTTTCAGGTGGCAATAGGAAATAAATAACCTATAAACAAGAGATAAGACTTTATTGGCCCCTAAGGGATATTCACGTTACAGTAGTACAAGAAATAATGTAAAGTGGTAGATCTTGGATTAAGAACTATATGAAATGAATAATTGTGAAAAAGCTTTGGAAGCGATTTACATTGTATAGATTACAGGTATATTATTTATGCATTGTGAAAATAGCTGTGTAAATAAACGATATATATGCACAAGTAACTACTCTAGTAGTGCAACTCTACACACCTTAATGAGGTAGAATTCTGACTAAAAACGAAGTTAGGATCCCTCTAGTGCATGAACTGGTTTGAGGAGTAAATATGGCATGAAATATACAGCAGTGTATATATAATATACTATATGTGCTGTGTGGTAAACTATATAATATATATCTGTATGTGTATGTAAAATGAAACACACACTAACTAAAATAAAATATTATGGATATTGTAAAATAATATTGTGTAATTCAGTACATGGTGTATTTGTGTTGTTTGTATACTGCCAGTTTCAATGTACAACACTGTTTAGGGTAAGCCTGTGTGCAGCTTGATGTCTCCAGTTTGAATGGGATGACCATAAGCCTACCATTCCGCCTGTGAAGTTATTTATTCACACAATTGCTAATAAAACTAGCTGACATTAAAATAGTCCATCATGGTGATTCTGTACCGTATAACTGCAGTTATTCTGTTATTTGTCATTTTGTGATCCAGGTGTTTATTTCAAAAAATGTATGCCTTGTGTTAGCTGAGCAGCAGAAAATCCTGAATGCCTTTGGGAAGTTAGTTTTTAAGAAGGTTCACATTGTAAGGTCAACCTTGCTGCCAGCAAAACACACAGATTTAAACTTTAGCAATGGATTTAACATCAAATATGTAATCCTAACGAGAAAGGTTTGGATGTGGACATTATTCCCACCACCTCACACTGAGAGAGCCAACAGTTCGCTGCCACCACCTCGCCTCTGTCGCTTTACAAAAAGTCTCTCTGTCGCCCCGTATCTTAGCTGGAGTCTCTGTGTGCTTCATGTTTGCCTATACTTCCCAAATCCCTAAGAGCAAACAGGAGCATGGGCAGATTAGCTTAATATCATCCTTGGCACTAAATACACAAAAATTAAATGTCATCCGTGTCCCAGGGTATAGTCAAAATAAGAAAGTCAAACCAGAGCTGCCCCACTTGATATAGTGCAAAGGGCAACATTTCAATCCAAACATAATTACATATTGATGTTTAGAGTTGTGCTATCTATCTATCTATCTATCTATCTATCTATCTATCTATCTATCTATCTATCTATCTATCTATCTAGTTTTTCTTCATTTTTACATGTCTTATAACTACCTTCTCTATAATGACGGATGCATTCACGTGGAGCCATAATAA